AAAAACATAATTCTAGCATTGAGGGGGAGGCAAGATTTAATACGCCTTAAAAGACCTAACTTTTACATTTTATACGTCCGCAGCCTTTCTGAATTTCGAAAAGAAAATTTAAAAAGGGGTCTACTATTTATTTCTCGGAGTTTAAGACTCAATAATATATGTCAAAATTGTCTAAATCTAAAGATAGATATTGGCAATCGATATTTAAATTAATTTTTCTATTTATCCCGGACCCGCTCGATAAGAAATCGCCAAGAACCTTCAAAATACGGACCATATCGTAGTCTGCAGGTTTTACGGCGTCAGTTTTCAATGCAGAAGCACTTAGATTAAGTCAGATATCGACTCTTATTTCCCCTACATTTGATATCGACTCACTAAACTTCTCTTTATTCGGAAACCTATTTGATGAAAATGAAACTTGAACACGCATTAACCGAAATTTGTTCATCGTTGAACGAATTTTGCATATCAAAGTAGTTTTAGTAAAACACCTGCGGTAGAAACTGAAGTAGGATTTTTCGCTTGTGAACTCACCTATCAGTTACTTTTGATAGGATTTTACATCTCCATTTTGATATCCTTACTACAATAAACTATTGTAGGAAATACAAAACGTAATCTGAAAGTTAGCCGAGACGTTTTCGGAACTGAATTGAAAAAGCCCAAAGGAAGTGAGTAGTTTTCCGCCACCTGTTCTCCTTTCACAGAAGAGCGACTCTCTTATAATGAATTGATTGGCTGACCAATAATTCATAAGCTTGATTTTGCTGGGGGGCTAAGATCAGTTCATGCGAAAGCCATCAAAGCCGAGAGAGTTTATGTTTCGTTCTTGTGTTTTCTTCGTAGAATGCCGAGAATGATAAACATTCTTAATATCGCTGTGGTTATTGTGGTTTCAATGCCTTCAAACCAAGGTATAGTATCTGCTGTTTATCATTAACATCGAGTGCTGGAGTTACTTGACGCTCAACTTGAAATTTTTTAAACTTGTGTCTGTGTCTTTCACTGAGACACATTCAGGAAGGCAACTCAAAGCATGATTTTAATAGAGCCCACCGTTTTCGTTCTAAAAAAGCGAAACTCTTGCGTTCAAGTTATTCTTTTCTCTGCTTTAAATTCTGTCCATGTTTTGATTATTTTCTCGCGTTATTCAAATACTGAATATACAAAAACAACGTTCGCTTGTTGGACTCTACGAATGTAATTTATTTCCTATTCCAACCATTGCGCAGTTATAACAAGTTTATAATGAAGATGCCTTGTCTAAAACTTAAACCGCAGGCCTGTAGTTCGATTTTTAGACTGTTATATTAACTTCGTGTCGTTTTGAAAAGAGAAGGCAACTTTCATGAGTCTGTGGATCACCTGCAATGGAAATTGCAGATCAATCGGCGATCATAATAAAATAGTGGTCATGCGGTTTAATGTTGTGAACTTCTAAGTCGCATTTCGTTTTACATAAAAAAAAAATGTTTCGTATAATTGTGAAAGGGGAATTATTCTTTTTATTCAGATACCACTTCCTTGAACGGAGAATCATGATCAATGTGTGTTGTTTGTCTACTGTGTATTTACTTTTAAAACGTGAAAGGCTTTATCGATTTTTTAATTTCTTCTATTACATGTGAATAAAGGGAGTTGGAAGCTCTTAAAGCGAACTGTCGCAGTCAAGCAATGAGGAGTTAAGATTCATGATCGGCTAAACGTTATTTTGTTTTTTCTGTTGTTGTTTTTGTGACCAGGTCGGCATCACATAATTAGCCGTGGACATCTGAAGTCTCCTCTTGAGGAACCGGCGTTTTCTACAGAGGATATAGAACCAGATGCACTTGATTTGAAGCAGGGTAAGCAGTGTCGTAGAGAGGAGTGCACTAGGAGTTTGATCATTATTTTTGTTTTTCTTATACCGATGATGTCTTGTCCTTATTAAGCCGGGTCTACCGAGAAGAAGAACGTGTAAGAATTTCAATCACAACAAAGTAGCGATGTAACAAAGTACAGCATTTGCGTAAATAGCAGTTCAAGACTCGGACATGTATCTTTTCCACTAATTGTAAATAAATCAGTGGTTTGGGAAGCTGATAGATATGGTTGCAATGAATATGGAATGGACTCACAGCAAAATTCACTTTTGCTTCAGTATTGGGAATCGAGTTATTTTCAGTTATGGATTTTAACAACCAGAATTCCTGAATACCAGGTTGAATCGGTTCGGAAAAAATGTGCCCTAAACTGTTACTAAGAGTAACATATGGCAGAGTTTTATGGTGACCAAGAGGGTGTGTTCACAGACCAGATAGCTTTAATAAATTAGGGGTATAAGCTGCAGATACCTAAATGAGATTTTAAAGGTTTTTTGAGTCAATAAACCCGGAAGCCGTGACGTCAATAACACTAACGCACTACTGTTTACCAACTGACCCACGAGGCAACACATTGCTAATGACACCTTACCCAGGGTCATTTAGGTGAACTCCTACTCTCCACAATTTCTACATTAGTGCACTGACGTCAATCATGCATATTTTAAGACATGAATAATTTGCGTAGTAGAAAGAACTATGGGATTGGGAAATTGTTCATTTGTCTCTAAACTTAAACTTAGAGACATTGAAGCCTACGTAACAAACCTCTAGCTTAAACTGATCTTATTCTGTTAGACAAGCGCAAAGGTATCCCGAGGTCAAAAGATTGTATCCTCTTTTTCATGAATTTATTTACTCACTCGTTCAGAGCAACGGCGAAGAGTCAGTGGAGGAACAAAAAGCCACAAGATGCCACCTCCTGTTGGTCCTATCAGGGACCTTCACCTTAAAGAAGGTAAATAAAAACTTTCAGTCACGTAAACGTGTAGGAAAATTTGTAATACCTCCCGGTTATCATCGTAAAAATTGCTAAATTGCTTTTGAGCTGCCTCTTTTTCAGTTCCTTTTTAATAATTGGAAAAGGCAGACTAAATACTTCCTTGTCCTAAACGTCCCGGACTGGGAAGAGACAAAGGAAAATCCTGAATGAGCCTTTACACCCGAACATCACCATGCCTATCCTCGTTACCTCAAGTACTGGCAACGAGAATTTGTTCAACAAGCGGGAACTTGAGTTGGCGATCATCATCATCATCATCATCATCATCATCATAAACTTTATTTCATCTCGAAAAATAGAGTAGCTTGTTGGAGCTAATATCTTCGAGAAAAAATAAAATGAAGATTATCTATATATATTCATACATATATCTGTACAAGATCTAAAATACTAACTATACTAAAATATACTAAAATACACAGTATTTAGAAATATAATTATGTAACATATCAATAGAAATTAACAGAAAAGTGAAGATAAGCGGGAGCGACTATACAAAGATACGGCCTTGGATTATCTTTCTAGAGTCTTTAAATGCACTCATGCGGATATAGTCAGGCAGTGTATTCCATAGCTTAGCTGAGAAGTATGAAAATGAATTAAGGCCATAACTAGTTGTTCTAGGTTTTCTAACTGACAGTATGTAATTACCGCGAAGATTATAAGAAGAGGACCGAAGCTAAGTGAAAACATACCTCTCATATAAGCTGGAAAATGAGTGAAATGATCATTTCCTTCTTTCTCCTGACCTTAATGATTGATTTGGGAATGATGTTGTAAGCGGAAATGAGATGCCAGTTACTCTTAGGAGTTAAGGGGTTAAAATCGCGGAACCTTAGCACACTAAAAGACTTTTTACACGAGCCGTTACACAGTTTTACACGGAAGTTTTCACGGTCTTGACGTAAGCAATTAAATTCAATCAAAAGCAAAAAAAATTGAAACTCTACGTTCTTACATTATCAAGTAACATTCTAACATCATAGACATCATAAGGTGGGTGATTAGTATAGAGAATATTTGTTTGTGAAGAGGCCTCCATCTAGCTTAGCACAACTGTTTGAAAAATAACCTGTGCGGGTGCATTTCTCTCTTACAGAGGAAAAGCGGGGAGACAGTGGAGGACAAAAAACCTTTAAGATGCCTCCACCTCATGGTCCTATCCGAGAAATCAATCCACAGGCACAAGATTTCGACGATGGTAAAACGCCCTGCTGTTTTCTCTTAAATTGTGCATTAGTAACGACTTAAATCCGACGGAATTCTTGAGTGAACTTCATCTTTGCCAAAAAAGGAATGCTATTTCAGTACGCTACAATTTCTAATGAGTTTAAACAATTTCGGCGCGGCCTGTCAGTGTATGAAGGCTGATTTGTTTCACCTTAATTCTTAACAAACCTCGTCATCTATTTTGTACTTTTCCATCAATTTCTAGACTGTTTTTTTTCTTTAAAAAAAGTCATTTGCAAAATATCATGACGTAGCTGATTAATCTTAAATACAAACCATCCATTGTTGTCATTCACATGTAGGTAGGGACAGTTGTGGTCGCAGTTCAGTTTCTTCTTCACGAGTTATCAATGGCGATGATGCCTCTCTTGGAGAATGGCCATGGCAGGTTCGCTTGGAATTCAACCATCACCATACATGTGGAGGGTCACTGATCAGGGCAGAGTGGGTACTGACCGCTGCTCATTGCGTACTTGATGATGATCCCAAAAAGTTCAAGGTGATCCTTGGGGATATCGATCGTAAGAAGGATGAAGGCTCAGAACAAGAATTTGAGGTGAAACGTATTATCAAACATCGTCTATTCTCGCACCCAGTTCCATACGAGAACGACATCGCCCTCTTTCAGCTTTCGCGCCCAGCTTCTCGCGGCGACTTGGTGAATACGGCCTGTTTACCTGAATTTCTTGAAGAAGTGCCGCTAGGGAAGGAATGTTACATAACAGGTATACTCTAATAGTTATCTTTGTTTTCTGATACAGGTTTGATCTTCCGTGTTCGAGAAATTACAACAAGGAGAAGCTTCTCTCTCCACAGGTAGCCCAAGCTCTCTATATGAACCACACAAGGAACACAATATGGCATATCGATTTATAAGGATTTGTATGGGATTTTCTACTAGATATCCCTGGAGGTAGTTAAAAGTGAAAATATTCACTGAAAAAGGCTTACCTTATTCCATATGTGTGTTGTTTGCTGCTGGTGTCGTTATTTTACCGATTTAACTTGATTTAAGCGATGTTTTTGAATCCTGGTTTAAATCAAGCTTAATCGGTAAAATAACGACACCAGGAGCAAACAACGCACGTATGGATTAAGGTAAGCCATTTATATTTACTATTTTCACCTTTAACTACCTCCATGGATATCTTGTAGAAAATCCCATACAAATCCTTAATATAAATCGATATGCCATATTGTGTTCCTTGTGTGGTTCATATAGAGAGCTTGGGCAACCTGTGCTCTCTCGTCGACACATTTGTAGTAAGTCCTCTGATGTTATCAATTCAAAGGAATGAAGTCCTATTCCAATTCCAAGCTTTCGACAGTTGTTAGATTGCTTTCTCTCTTCAACTCTGTTAGGAAATAATGATACTGCGGCTCCTGCCCTGACTAATTAGTCTAACACCCAAGCTGTTCGCTCTCTTCAGGTTGGGGACAGATGTTTGGTAAGGGCGATTCAGCTACGATCCTACAACAGGCACGAATGCCCGTTGTCTCAAACGGAGCATGCGCAGCAAAACTGGATACCTCACCAAATGGCGGGCTTCATACTGATAACCGAACCTGGATAGTGACAAGCAAAATGATCTGCGCAGGAGATGCAGGGCGCACTAAGACAAGCGGCTGCTTTGGGGACAGCGGTGGGCCATTTCAATGCAAAAATACCGCTGGGCAGTGGGTAGTACAGGGAATTGTAAGCTGGGGTGACCCGGATTGTTCGTCAAGTAACCATTACACAGTGTTCACTCGGGTTAGCGTGTTTCGCAAATGGATCGAGGATATGTTAAAAGACACAGTTAACAAATCTAAAAGAGACATTTAGGCAACCGCGTATGAACAGAGGAAAAACCGTGTTTTTATAAATTACAAATTTTAAAAAGTCAGTAACCGGTTACCTTTTAGTATTTAACTGTCAGAGGAAATGTCGCAGAAGAAAATAAAGATTGTAAATTTACTTCAAACAAATTATAACGGGAAAGCTTTGGAGACTTTAAACTAACCTAAACAGCGTTAGAGCGATGGAAAAGTAAAGGTTACTTATAGGATAGATCTCGCATCTTACAATGTGAAAGCTTGAAATGGCCGGATACTATTCTTTTCCCTGTTATGTCGCAGCAGGTTATTCTCACTCTCCACTTTCGCTGAGGATGGTGACTCCGAAATATCTCGAACTTTGCTTGCCCAAGCAAGAGCCATGCACAGGCAAGTCAGTCATTTTGGGTCATATATTGTGCTGTGCAATTGAACACCACCCTGGAACATTTTACGAATTTGCAAAGATTAATGACTTCCTCGATACCAATTTGCAGCACACAGTTCTGACTTTCCAGTTTGACGACATTTACAAGAATACTGAGAAATCAAACTTTTAAAACTAGACAAAATTCGGGAAGGGGGATCTCGATTTGTTTTAGACTATTATCAATATTATCGAACGCATTCCTTCCCCCCAGATCCTACTCACCACCACCGCCTATCGGCCGTGGGAAGTCTGATTACAACTTCATCGAAATGCCGTTTTCAGCTTCCTTGTATCGACATTCAGTATGCTTTAAAGCGCTTGCGCAACCGAGCTAATAAGAACCTGTAGGACTTGGAATACGACTATTCTGTACCACTTGTTCTCTATTCCAGCTTATACCTGCCTCTTCGACCTTGAAGGGGGTCAAAAGTCAGTCATTTAGTTATCCGTACAATTCGTATCAGACGAGTTTGAAATGGAGATTTGCTTGACTTAGCGCTTAACGAACTGTTCTAAGGCTTTGACTTAACATAAATCATGATAGTGCTGTGCGTGGCTCTTACCAAGCCTACTTACAGTCGATTCAATGACCATGTACGTTAAATACGGGAGTAAACCTAAGATATGTTTAATATTTTCATCTTCTAAGAAAATACCAGTGATGGTGGATTATCCAGATGTTTTCTGAAGGAACTTCTCATTTTTAAAAAGATTGAATGACAACCAAACAAAGTGGAGATTCATGTAGTTTATTAAGAAATGGAACGGCTTACGTACAAATTATACCGACTTTGCCTTAACTTGTTAAATCCAACAGTATTTTATGAGTGATTCTGAGTACTTTCGGATCTGCTTAGTGCGGTATTGATGAAACAAACTCTATTAAATAATTTATCGAGAAGAAAATCACATTCAATCCAGTGTAGAACCTCCCAGAGGTCCTCACTGAATGATAAAAGTATTCACAAATCTTTCTCAACCGTTCGCGACTAAATTACATCCAGTGCAGTGATTGATCTCTGATTGATTCCAAAAAAGTTCTGTCACGCATATAATGATCATTGCCTTGAGAGCATTTTCTTGGGTCTTTCATGTTACAACGAAATTTCAGCGTTTGGTTGGTTGTTTTGCGATTCGTTAATTACGAGTGGCGTAGTAAATCGGATGGGTGATGGGTGAGTCATAAAGCCACTGACTCTGTTCATCGATGTTCATAACATCACGCAGGTACAACTGTTGACAGGGTCTGTGAGAGAGTAGTTCCCAGGCCTTGCGTATCGAGAACCAACCTCTCCTTCGCCCTGAAATGACAAAAAGGCATAATTCATTTCAGAAGACGGGTTGTTTTTAACTTTCTTCAAGTATCTCACCCATTCCCATGTACTTTTCATTTTGATTTAGAAGAACTGTATCACACAGACGATCAAACTAGATCAGATACGCTTCTCAGATAGATCTCCAAATGTTACTAGTCATTTCAGATTTCGTGATTTGTCGTCGGCATAATAGCTCTATTCTTAAATTTTTGTTGTACATCAGATTTCGGGCAGATCCACGTCAGAACATAACAGAAGATACCTTTTGCGGCGTCATCCCAGTAATCACACTCTTCTGTGACATGCAGAACATAAAGCATAGTTCTTGTCTTGCTGGTTTCGTTCTAGTGTCAGGAGACAAAAATTTTTTAACAAATCACTCAATTTACAACAATCTTAGGTGGACAATGAGTACAAAATGGCAATGCTAATAGAGGGCATGTGCTCGCGACAAAATCTGATTTTCTATTTCCGGGAACGAGGTGAAAACGTGTGTATCGGATCAAACGATTAAGGGAATTAACACATTATGCTTTATTCTATCACACCCAAAGTGACATCTGGCAAAAGTTTGTCTCTGTACCTTCTGCAGTATATGACAGCCATGTTACCTTTGAACTGTTTACTGACAGATAACAAAAACACGAGTGACATACTTAGTGCCACTTTTCTTTCCTGACTAAATTTGTACAGGCGGCAGCATGGAAGCTAATAAAAATCGTACATTTAAAATACCTGAAACACTCCAAGACATTGCACAATATTTCCACGTACTCCAGCCTGTCATTAAACGTAAGTTACACTGACCTTTAAGGTAAATAAAGAAAGTAATATTTATCTGATCCCCTTGGGGAAGGTCTCTTCTAACCGAACGCGAGGTGAACGTTTAAGATACAAAACTGCACGCTCTACTAGATGCCAAAGTACGACATGCAGACGACCAATTCCCAGCGTAGGAGCTAAGGCCGTGTGGACGTGAGTAAAATCATGAATAAATCATCGATAATTGAAAATTTTTCGTCCTTTCAAATATTAATGAGTGCGAACAGAAGTATGAAATTCCCTGATGGGTTGAATGGGAAACATAGAGACAATGGAGTCACTTCTTCAAAAACCTCTCGAACAGCTGCATCTTGGAATCTTTCACCAGTTTCTACTCCTCCCGCTGGCACTATCCACTTGTCTGGATATCTGTTACTTGTTACCAACAGAATCTGTTAAAAAAAAAAAACGTGCACGTCAGGCCAATGGTTAATAATAAAGATGAAGGCGAGGTGTAGAGAACGAGGTCTATGAGAGAATCTTTATAGAAGAGGAACTGATATAACGTTCCAGCAAATGCCACAGTAATACTTTGTACTTATCACACTTCATGGTTTATGAACTTGGGAAATTATTTTTCCAACAACTTTTTATAGGCCTTCAATGTGAAATTAAGCCATCACCATTCTAGTTCCAATCCATGGCAATCTTTTAAATCACTAATGACCTTTCTTCCTCACTGTTGGATTTGTTTTTTGTTTTTTTTTTTCTTACTGAAGTACCATTTTGGAGAGCTTTGAGTTGAAGATAATTTTGCACAACAGAGACTCAAACTTTGTAGGCCGAGAATCCTCTGAACACCGAGTCTGGGGCAGTGCTGATTTCCATAAATAGAACGAGGAGAAAACTGGGATCCGTTAGGGCACGAGCGCATTGGGCTGACAAAATTTGTTTTTCTCCAGCAAAAATCTCGACTAAATTTGTCTCCGCCAAATCTTTGATTTGTCAATCGAGGCCGGCGCACTGAAAAACCGGCGAAATATTTGTTAAACACCAAATTTCAGTCTCATGGATATATAACTTGGGGATTAGGACTTGGGGATTCAGCTAAACATAAACTTGGGAACCATAGTAGTTGTATTCTGAGCATCCTTAGTACTGATTGTCGTGCAGCATCCCGAGGTACGAATCTTCCATCTTCACCGTTTGATTGCCGCGTAAAAATTAGATATTTTGGAGGCCTTCTGCCTGAAAGACTCGCATATAAAAGTGAGATTAAATTGTGTTGATTGATGTATTCCTTCAATTCGTGGCTTTTAAATTGAAATATCAGTCAGATTTCACGCAGCCAAAAATTTTTCCTACTCCGAAGCAGGACAACGGCGCCTTTGAAGGCTTGACAAAATTTGGAAGGATAAAAAATAATCGGCGCACTTGTCTCACTGACCTGGAGACAGATTTCTTCGCAAAATAAACAACAATTTGTTGAGTGCGCCTGGGCCCTAACTTCATCAGTACGGACGGAGACGACGAGGTAAGTAAGAAATCTATTTCATGTCTACCGTGTGTCTGTAGGTTTCAAAAAATTGGTTTTAAGCTACGTGGAGAGGCTTCAAATGACAAACAACGAAAAATAAAAAGAACGGTTAGAATCGCATCAATCAGTTGTCTGCACGTTTTAACGCAGAAATTATAGAAAACAAAAGATCTCAAGTGCCACCTACCCATCGATAATAAGGGCAAAATTGGCCAAAAAAACGGCTTTATTCTTCTATTCCTAAATTGACCAATCTTGTAATGGGTACTGAGAGATGAGACAAAGCGTGCACTCATCCCACAGGTCCACTGGGAATACAACGAGTGGCAGGGAGCAAGTAGAAATACATGTGAAGTCGTATTATCGCCAAAGGCTCGACCAAGTCAAGAACTTGGATACCCAAAAGAAACAGTGCGAGCAAATTAAATCGTCGGAAAATTACTTTTTCGTGCCATAGCGCCTCTATACAATGCGAATGTGCTTGAACAAAACTGTGATGTTTAACAGAGCAACAATTAGGACGCTACAAGCTTTAGCAGAGCATCTGTCAAACTAAGGATTGCTAATTCAGCCCGATCATATTGAAGAACATTATTGTCATTATCATAACACGTATCTTTTCGATGCATTTGCGTTGATTTTTGTGATTAGAGTGTCGGACTCGTAATCCGCCGCTCCCGAGTTCGAGTCCCACTCTGACCACTAGATTTGTTTCACGGTAGCCCCGTGTTCAGATCCTTGGCCACGCTTGTAAATAGCCAACTGATTTGCCTCCGGCCGGTTGGGGTTCTTAATGATGTTCTTAATGATGTTATGTTCAATTTAGACCATTTGTTTCATTTGTTTGCAAGGACCACACTGGAAACTACTGGTTCACCAGTAATTGTGTAATCCTATAAAAAGAATTTTTTTTTTTTTTTTTTAAAGCTCTAGTTTGCCTTTGGTTAAGCAGAACATCGAGCACCGCATTGGGTTACTTATCAAAAGTTGATCAAAGTAACACAATTTATTTCGCTGGCTGTAAACAATTATATTTGGCATTATGGAATGTTTTACACTGGCCTACGTACAGTGTGGTACGTAATACAAAGGCAAAAATTGCTTCAATGCTCAATTCCAATTATCTTGTTCCCAATTCACGAACAGCAAGGACAGTAATCCTACTGGTACTCGCACTGTGCAAGATGTCGCAATAATTAGGAACTTTAACATGTAAATAATGTGTTCTCCATTTCGGGCAGTTGTACGTATTTCAAAATTTTCTGGCATTTTAACGCCATTTAGGGAGAGAAAGACTTCTTTCCCGAAGAATGTAGAGCTGTTGTAAAGATTGACATGTGTCTTAATTCATCTGCTGTATTTCGCATTGGCAGGATAAGTGTCGCTAATTGAGTTAGCGAAGAAGTTGCAACACAAATTCACTGACTTCCTTTGCATGATCTGTTCTGAAGCATATGCAGCCGGCCCGCTGTATGTAACCGTCCGTATCGTAATTCCGAAGCTTGTTCGCTGATCCAACTCGCTCCTTCATTTTGATTGCATGCTCCAACATCCTCCCTCGAAGGTTGATAAATTATGATTTACATGTAAATCCTATACAATAGCTTTGTGCATATCCCATCCCCCAACGGTACGCATACTTGACTTGGCTCAGGCTTCAAGACACTTGCGTCACTTGTGTAAACAATCCTGCACCTTTTATGCACTGTCAGTCGGTCAGCTCGTAGCAAAAGTTTCTCATCATGCGATGTTGCAATATAAGAAAGAAGCACAGAAATTAGAAGTTACAATGGGGAGGGAAAGTCAGCTGATTGACACGACCACGAGTTTTTCTACGCTGAATTTCTAACCACCTTTGTTCTCTAATATGTAAATTTTAAGCTCTTTAACAACGAATCACTTTGGGATCTGGGCAGCTAAAACATTTAATCAAGAGGCTATTCTTTTTTTTTTTTGTTTTTTTTTGTTTACATGGTGCGATTAGTCTAACGAGTTCGATGTTTTCTGGTTGTAGGTGATCTTGGTTGCGTTACGCGGCGTAAAGGGTGTAAATCTCCGCAGAGAAACACGATCGGAGGTCACCAACCAGAATAACATTTGGCGATGCGTTAAAATTGCCTCGGCCAAAGATATTCCTCTGCACCCTCTGTTAGAGACTTTTAGGGCACGTTAACGTTGCTAAGTCTGCAATATGTGGTTTGAAACTTGCTGTTTGCAGAAAACCATACTTTACAATTCATCAAGTTGGACATTCCACCTTGAAAACCAGATTTTCTAATTTTCCAAAAAAATATTGAGCAAAATTGAAAATTAAGCACAAAGCATGAACTAGAAGAAAACAAAAAAAGAGAAAATGAAGAACGAAAACGAAGAGAAAATCCCACGAAGCTCGCCAAACCACCCATCTCGCACCAGACACCTTGCATAATAAATCTTGTCATGCTTAACAATGAGAAGCGAAAAATTTCGCAAGTGATTTTAGTCCCTCAAACGCTGTGTAAATGAATCATGTGATATCCACAAGGTGTAAACGATAAAAAAAAAGAGAAATTATAAAATAAAAACAAGCAAAAAAAAAAAATCGAAATTGAAACCGGAACAGTTTTCCCTTTTATCCTTTGGAGATTGCAATTCCATACAAGTACTTTTGTGTAATCTATAGGCTTCGCAAACACGAAAATCAACGAGAGTCTGGAACACATGGATCACGAGAAAAGTAGAAGAAAAAAAACAAAAACAAAAACAAAAAAGCAAGGTATTTTCCATTCAAGTCCAACGGAAGAGCTATTCCCTAGACGCTGAAGAGCTATTCCCTAGACGCTGAAGAGCTATTCCCTAGACGCTGAAGAGCTATTCCCTAGACGCTGAAGGGAACCGAGACACCTGTAAAGTTACGGCATTGTTAGCTATCGGTTGAGGTGTAAGCGTCTAAAAAGGCTAAATACCTAAAAAGTAAAAAGGGGCATTAGTTTGGGCAGCCAAACGCAAATCGCCACAACGGTGGGCCAAACTAGAGAGAACTAGGGCTTCTTTACCCAAAATACAACCTGCCAAAACCCTTTCCAACTAACTATTTCGCGACTTGAGTTCCTCTAAAAAGATGGACACAAAGTAAATAGACCAACAACACATGAACAGGTGACAATACTTCTATTTTGGTACTTTTTATAGGCTCTAGAATTATTCCATTTTTTTTCCTCTTAAAATTTTTACAGAACATTGAGAATTTCTTGAGAAACGACTGCTGATCGGGCTTGTGATTATTCTATCACCATCAGACTGAAAGAGAGAGGGCTACACGAAGACAACGGATTGAAACTACACCACAATCGAGCATCGCATATAAACACCATCTGAAAATACTACAAAACTGAGTCGTTCAGTCAAAGTAAACGGCCCTCTACATTAAATAAAAAAATAAATTAGCATTTTCCACTTCGACTCCAAGTTATTGTAACAATCAAAGTAAATATGTCCAAGTACGGACGCTGTGCCTCTTGTCCGTGATAAGATTGGGTCAGAGTGTGACAAATGCCACTGTATCCACGCAGTCGTGGCTTGCTAGTTGCCATGGGGATACCAACCGGTATACAACATCCCGGCGATGGCTACTGCAGTTCACAGAAGTATCCAAAACACTTAGTGCTCAGTCAGACTCCTCATTTTGTACCTTGGTGGTGGATTCATTATCAACAGTATCACTACTATCTAGAGGTGGAATCTGTTCAGTGACCGGGGAAGACTGGTCTTCAGAATTCCGTCTAGGACTCGAGCGTTCAACATTTGGGGAAGCCTCGTCTGCGGAGTTCCCATTTTCCCCCTCTACATCTCCCTCAGGTTCTTCTTGGTCCTGAGAGAGCACAGAGGCAATTAAAAGTCAATATTCGGATGTTGTGTTAAAAGATATAAAGTAACAAAACAGAAGACTTTACCTCTTCAGGACACAATTCGCAGGCCTTGGCGAGTGTGAGTCGTGCACTGTGTGATCGTTCAAGGAAATACCTGGATAAAATTTTTTTAAAAAAAAAAATAAAAACAGAACAATTATACTAAAACAAAAAGCACGTTGTTTTGGAAACTTTTATCTAAGCACAAATTTCCTACTTTTTTAATGAACTTTTTATCCGAACCCTTGAACTAACATATCGAGTTCAACTTTGCATTAATTTAAAAGAGTAAAAAAAAAAAAAGTCATTGAAGGCGGTGACGTACCCATTGGACGTCTCATTGGACTGCGCCGGTGGAGACCAGTTGTTGTAAGTGTACGACGTACCTCCTGTATACGGCCTCTGTAAAATAATTAAAAAAACGGCGACAGGTCAGAATTCCATGTTTTCTGTGAAGCAACTAAAAGCGTCTACAGTTTTGTAGCAAGTTCAGGTCTACAAACCACAGCTGAAAATATTCGCATGAAACAAAGTAAAAAAATCCGTATTAAAAAGATAATCACAGCGAACACAATAAGGAAAATTTAAAGCATGCAGTTGGCACCTAAAACAATTGGTTCTACATCTTAAATCAATTGATAGTTACAATGATGGAGAGGTCACGAGTGAAACGTTGCAATCCTGAGCTAAGTAACGTTTTCTCGTAATACTAAAGAATGTCTCGTGAAAGAATTCCCTTTAATATAGAAACTTTAAGGTTTCCCAAAATGGAATTAAATAGTTCTGTTATAAATATTAGAAATATCGCATTAATATACAAGTTAAAATAAGGAAACTATTGTGGGAGAGAACCGACCCTCTCCAGTTCGTCATTAAGCCACTCTACTGCCCATGTCCACTTCCGGCGGAGGTCCTGTGCCGTCATGAGAATCTGGTGCGCAAGGGGACAGCTGAGGAAACAAATACAAAGGAAGTGACTAAAAACCTTCCTATCTTATTAAACGTAACAACATATCCAAAATCAAATCACGCGTTTTGAAACGTGATTAAAATTAAAATCGTAATCATGTAGCTGTGAAATCATAATCAGAAGTGAGAAATGCGCATCGGCTAATTACTCATTGTTCTATCGGTACTGAAGCAAAAATCTAAAGTTGACAATGGTGCCGCTGTTGTTGGGTTGAATGAAAGACAACAATAGGGGTCAGGTTAAGAGACTGTCAAGTTGCGGGTGAAACCACTTGCGAAAACAAAAGAAGCAGCAAACATCTCTATGTCTGAGAGACCAGCCAAACGCCAAAGAATCGAGTTATCGTTAGAGAAGAGAATTGAGTTGATCAAATGCGCGGAATCAGTGCCTAAACCAACACTGAAGGCTCTAAGCGGTAAATTTAGGATCGGTAAATCAACTGTGGGTGATAATTTAAAAGAGAAAGAAGTCTACAAATGAATTAAAATCGGCGATCATATTACCCTGTGTGTAACACGGAATTTTTTTGTAGATTAAATAAAACGACGTTGAAAAGCTCCCTTGTGATCCATGTCGCTAGTTCCTTTTTTGATGTGCTTTATTAATGCTCGTGTACCATGTACTGGTACTAACAGTCAGACAGTACATTCTGCCGCATAAAATTGCCTTATGGGTAAAACCTCAGTACACCAGACACCCCTCCAAACCAGACATTTCCTCCGGTCCCAAGGGCGTCCGGTTTTGAGGGGTTCCACTGTACAAGTATTGCATCAGCTTAGAGCAGATTTCACTAATCTTTCCTGGTAGCCAGATGTTTGAATGCAACGTTCCAACAATTGCTTACTGACCTGCAGAAAAGAGTGACCATGAACTTGATGCACTGATACGCTCTCTTCTGATAATGATTCTTCGAGCGCTGAATTGTGTCAAACAAACCTTCTTTGTCGTCTGGAATTCCTTTTCAAGAAGTAAAATACCAGTCAGTATTATACTCAAAACGAAGTGGAATCCATTCCTCTGTGAAAACATGTTTTCTAGTTGTATCTTTCGTTAGTGACGTCTGAGCTGCTACTACTACTTCTCTTGTTAAAATCTGAAAAGTGCCCCGAGTTTCGAGAGGTCTTCAACACATAGGTTGGCGTTCTCGGGAATGACAAAGTCGGCGAGTTAAAAAAAATGCACACCCACAAATGCCATGCAGGGGGGTCTCAAGTAAGTATAGAAAATAATCCAGTAATACACTGTAATTACTATCTGGCTTTGTAAAACAGAGCAACATGTGTAAATCAACGACTGTTGTTACCTTTAAGGGTGTTATGAATTCTGTGACTCTGCCAGGAGTCTGTTATAAGCATCATTTGCAGCAGTAAGTCTAGGTATGGTCGCAACTCATATGTGTACGAAAATGCAACCTTAGAAGAATAACGAAAAAGATAAGTACAAAAATGAGTGTCTTCACTCCTTTTTTTTTTTACCTCCATTTACGATACAAGTTAATCCGTAACACTAAGAAACTATTTGCAGACCATTTCAAGAAAACAAAAGCAAAAGGGTCAACATATAACAAACATATAAATATATCTATGAATACACAAGGATATCGCACTACTTCACCTGCCAGAGAAGTTCACTTAATACTATCCGTGAGAACTGTGGATTTTCCCAACAGCAAAACTGCAAAGAACGACGCCTGCAAGATTAGCTATCAAGGATTTTAATGCAGGCCTGGATGCCAATTCTCTCCAAAACTACACTAATGCAAAGCACTGGGTGAATGAACGAAAAACTGCTGACCGAACAATTCAGGCCTGATTTAGGAGTTACAGGTTTTCAAAACAAGCAAGAAAGGCTGTCTTATGCTCACTCTTAACAGTTTCAGCGTGTCTTCCGAAGTTGTGCTGTCTTCAATCACTTTCTTTAAGTATCTGTGGGTCAGTTATAAAAATTATTATAAAAAGAGAGACAAGAGAATCACAACAACAAAAACAAAAACAGCAGCAACAACAAACTAACGTGGCTTTGGTGAACAGGATGTCTGCCACTACAGGCTGAATCTCCATTACTGGATGCCCTTCGCCAAACGGATTCGCTCTTGGCTGTGTGTTCTGAAAGTAAAAATGACTACAATTCAGCAATTCAAAAAGCAATTCAAAACCTCATTTAACGCAGATAAAACAGGTTTTTTTCGCTCGTTGTTGCCTTTCTACTCTCAATGCTGAATGAATTAATTTTCGGAGATACTCGTGGCATTCTTTTACATTCGCTTATTCGATTAAAGGAGGATCCTATTAATTTACAGGATTCCTTACCGAGACGGAAGAGCGCATTCTAGCCGAAACGTCGCAGCAGCGAACTAACTGAGACACAACCGAGTAAAGTTTTCCCAGTTCAGCGTACTGGTAACGAATGGGAGGGCCTGGGCCCTCGTCCAATGCCACCAGCATGAACGTTGCGGGAACACCGAGCTGTAGGAGTTGAAGTCTCTGCCAAGAAGAAAGAAAATGACTCATGAATACGAAGACATAATAATAACAATGATAATGATAAAAATAGCAATGATGGCAACGATGACGATAATGAGTGATGAGAATAATAACAATGATAGTAATAAAACTTGGTCTATGAAACAGTCTGTTTAAGTCAGCATGAGGGTAATTTAAAGCTTCTCGTAGTTGTGTAAGGAGTCATGTGCCAATACAACTCAAGGAAATAATACAAAGAACCATAAAAACCGCTTTACTTGTCATGTCTTCGACAAATGGACTTACTTTTGATCTAATTCATTGAATGACATCTACCAAACAAAACAGTTACACACCTCAGGTGGACCAATAGTGGAGTACATGAGAAAGAAGTGAAAGTACTGTTGTAAGTGACGGCCGTGTTCTGGAACCTCTTTCTTCAATAATCCCAAAACGGCGCTTAGGATATGGTCACTCAGGGTCGCTTTGTTGTCAAGATCTACAGGACAGAACAACAACAAAGATGCACTCGTTTCGTGACTCCATCGAATGCTTTTCAAGAACTAGCGTCTTCCTATGGAGCGAAACTTGGTAGCGAATACACTAATTATAACTCAAAACACGAATGAACCACGAATGAATAACTGTTCGTTGCGACGCGACATTATATAAAACAGTTATTGCATGGTATAAGCTGATTTGCAGCATATCCCTCAGCATAACCGCCTCCCGGGTAGCTCAATTGGCAGATACTAGATCTGAGCCCGCGTAAAAGCGGTTTTGTGTGAAGATGCACGGAATCGAGGCAGTTGGGCCAAACGCTTAGTAAATTCTCAAAGGTATCACTGTATATTTCAAGATAACTCGCATTTTACGCAATGTTTTTACTTTTATCGACAATCTGAAGCATTCAAAAGGCAAAGATAGCAATGGTTAGACATTGTATTGCATTTGGATGCAACAACCGGAGCGATAAACCACATTGCAAGCATCTTTCGTGGCATTCACTGCCACTGAGCAACAAGAAACTTCTGGCGACTTGGCTAGTCAAGATTAAACGGGAAAACACGCCCGTAAGTAAAAATTTCTTTTATGCAGTGAACATTTTGAAAAGGAA